TTAGTTCAATTTAGCCTAGAAATCCTGCAGAAAAATTTCATATTTTTTTGGAACTCACTAACAAATATTTCTCAAAATTATCCCATATGTTAAAATACTAATGTTATATATATAACTTTGGGATAAAATAATTTTTAGTCCCTTATATTTGGAGGTTCTATTGATTTGGCCCCTTAATTTGTATCATTTCAGTCCTTAATATTTTTTTTAGTTATCAAGTCACTCCTCTAAGTTTTGTAAGATAAAATAACCCTAAAATAGTTGATGTGGAAGTTAGATTCCTGACATGGAATATACATATAGATTAAACAGAACACATTAGCCAAATCTATTAAGCCCTAATTGCTTACTCCCTTTGTTTAAAAATGTAAGACATTTTTAATCTTTTGAGATATAATCATTGTCTTTTTTTCAAAAGTGCCTCTATTGATAATAAATTTATATTTATTATAGGATGTTTAATAAGAATAAATATAAAAAGATATGGTTAGTTTAAAAATAGATAACTACTTTATTGAGAGGTAAAATTTAATTAAAAATGCTTTATATTTTTTTAACAGAATGAGCATATATGATTCATTTTATTATTTTATTATATTGTCATCACTACCGTGATTCTACATCAACAACCTAATTTTCACATTAGCTTTTTTTGAAGGTTATTTTATCATAAAAAATGTAAAGGACTGACTTCATAAGTGAATCAAACATTAAGAAAAATTAAAGTTGAAGGATCAACAGACAAAACCGCCAAATACAAGGGATTAATATTGTTTTATTCGTATAACATTTCTTTGATTACTATATATTCTTTTCAATTCGGCCGGCCCCCTAAACTAAAATTCTTGGCTTTGCTCCTGCCTCCTGCATCTTCATTTCCCAAAATAATGATATTGAAAATCATGTCAATTCAACTTATTAAATTAAAAAACACTTAAATTAGTATTTTAACCAGTTTAACGAAATGTTTTCTTAATGGTTGATGTGATTATGATTTTCTTAAAAACAACCAATTTGGTTTTTGATATTTGAAACAAAAAAAAAAAAATCGTTTTACTTCTTCACAGCTTCGCCGCTTTTGCCATCCCTTTCTTGTCCTTTCCCTTCTGCTCATATCTATTAATTGCCCTGTCGTTACGCTCAGAAATTCCTTCAATGCATTCATAATGATTCTTGGAACTGTGGCTTCGAATTGTTGGTTTCTGAATCACGTGTTATGTCAAGTAGAGCCGGTAAAAAAAATTTCGAATACGTATGGCCTTGCAATATTAAACAACAATTCAAAATACAGGAATTTTATACTACTTCAAGTTTTATATTTGACATTTGGCACTTTGACATTTCAATGCTCCTTAAAAGACTTACGTGGCTTCACCAGCACTCAAATCCACATGCTCAATCATGAGTGTGTACAATATTAATTTATAATTGACTCTCTCTCTCTCTCAATATACACACATACACATATTTTCTTTAATTTTATTTATAAAATAAAAAAAATTTTAAAATTTTATTTATAAATTACATCATTAAATTTTTATTATAATTTTTTTAATTTTTATTAAATATTAAAAAAATATATTATTAAAGTATGTATATTTAATAAAGATAAAATTAAAAACTCAATAAATTTTAAAATAAAGTTAATAAATTTTAATATTTTTTAATATTAATAAAATATATTAAAATAATTTATAAATAAAATTAAATGAGTATATCATTTCCAAACACATTTGAAGTCACTTCATGTGGTTAATTAGCTCTGTATTCTTCAAAACACCAAGCAGTGGGGGGCCACAGAGAGACTCCCAATTATTAGACATATACTCATCCTCATTTACAAAATAAAATATTTTTTAAAAGTTTTATTTAATTAAAGATATAAAGTATTAAAACTTTTTTTAATTATACTCTTACTTTATTTATTTATTTTTTTACAAAATATATGTATGATTGAAATTTCAATTGTCATGAGTCAAGCTAAGGACTTATATTTAATGAATAAATAATTAAAAAGATGTAAATTTTTTAAAAAGAGATTAAGGTTTTGCTTTTGCTTTTTTTAAATTTTAAATAGTGAAGAGTGTTCTATATTATGATTTGTAGAAAGTATGTGCATGACCACTCCAATTTTGTTGTTTTGCTTTTGAAAGAGAAAATCTACCACTACAAAAAAAAAAAAAAACTTTTAGTGGTAACTTTAATAACAATAAAAAAAATCACTACTGAAAGTATACTTATAGAGGCATTAAATCAAGATCACCACCAAATCAAAATTCTAGATTAAATCTAGACTGTGTAAAATATATTTAAATAGTTAATATATATTAATTATAAAAAATTTAATATTAAAATGGATCCTCTAAATTAAATCTAGATTATATTAAAAATAAAAAATTTATAATTATTTTATATTTTTTATTTTAAAAAATATAACATATAATAATAATTTAAATTTGATCCCTTCCAAATTTAAATTCAAATAATTTAGATCTCATTAATAATTTTATATGAAGAACTACTAAACTCAATCACTTGTTGCCGTTACTCTTTAGTTTTCTGTTGAGGTTTATCCTATAGAAGTATTCAAATTGGATGAGTGATCGATTTCTAAGTTTCGCCGTAAACCTAATTGGCTACTTCCAATTACGTAAATCAATAATTCAAACCACACTCAAAAGTAAGGCATTTCTTATTTTTATAAGAACTTCTATATTAAAAATAATAATATCTCTAATTATAGTCCCTCTGGGATGAGCACCCAAACTAAATTCTAGTTATGGATGTTGGGATTTGAGCATTGGAGAAAAGAGGGGCTAAATTAAAAATATGCTTTTATCATTTATTCAAACTATAATATACAAAAACACTCATGTCTTCTCTTCAATTCTCACACTCTTTCATCCTCGTGTCACCCTCTCTCACTTCTCTCGTTACCCTACTTTCAGTCACTCTACACCCGCACCCACGTCACTTCACTCTTTCCTTCTTTCTTCTTTATCACACGCGCAAATGACGCTCACACACTTACAGATGAGGAATGGCGTTGAAATGGCACATTCATTTCGCCGCCTTACACTGTTAAAAATATTAGTTTTCTGGATTTTTCCTTTTTCCCCACCTTTAATATGCTTAGGGAGAAAGAAAACATTTGTTTAGAAAATAAAAGAAGAATTTGGAGAGAGGGAGGAGGAAAATTCTGGAGGACGGAGAGAGAGAGAGAGAGAGAGAGAGAGAGAGTCGGTGATATATTTTAGGGCCCGTTTAATTTTTTTTTCATCTTATATTTAAAAAAGTAAAATTTTACTTTTAAAAAGTTAAAAATTATTTAGATAAAATATTTTAAAAAAATCATATTTTAAAAATATATTTAAATATTAGTTAAAAGAAGATTTCTAAAACATAATTATTTAAAATTTTTAAAAAGTAAATTTAAAAAGTTGGATATTATTCAACCATACTATTTTAAGTTTAATCCCTTATTAAATAATTAATTTATTAAAATATAATTATTATTTCAATAATAATAAATAAATATCAACTTTTTAACATTATAAATTGAATAATTAATTATGTTAATTTCTAGCATTAATGTGTAATAAAAATTATAAATCTTTATCACATTTTTTAAAATTTTAAATTAAGAAATATAAATAACTAGAGATCAAATTTTTAACTTTATAGATCAAAATTGATGTTATTTAAAATCTTTATGACATATTTTAAATATTTCAAATATATTATATTTGTATAATTAAAATTATAAATCATTATAAATTAATATCCTTTTGATAATTGTAAATTTAAAAGTACATTTTACTATCACAATTCAGACAACTTTCTATGTATCAAATTAACTTTTGAAAAAATGTATCTAAATATAAATTTTGTTACAACAACTAACTTTTCTTAAATTGATTTTTAGCAAATGGACTTTCACCAAATAACTTTTGACAAACTGAAAATCAAACACACACTTAGCCAATGTTTTCAAGATTGGACCATACATTGAATCAAAAAGGTTAGCAGTTTATGGTTCATATGGTTCAACTAAGTTGGACCTATGATTGAACTAATGATATGATAATTAAATTTAAAAAAATCACACACACACACACACACAATAATCTAAATATAAGAAATAAATATAAAGATTTCATTTAACATAAAAATAAAAAATAAAATATTTTAAGTTTATCATAACTTAATAAATCATATGATACAATATAATATTAAATAATTAAAAAAAGTTATTTTTTAAAAAAATTTAAAAATTTTTTTTAACAATTTAGTTTTCAAAAATCAGACTTAATTTTTAACCCGATCATTGATTTAAAATAGCTCAATCTGACTTAACTTTTTAAATTGTTTTTTCAGATTAATTGAGTCATTGTCCTAACCAGTTGAATTGACCATCCCGTTAGATTCGGTCTTTTAATAATTGATTTTAACAATGGAAAGGCGCCAAAACCAAGAGCATTTTCAACAGCAACAAGAAGCACTCAAGTGCCCTCGAACCTCGATCGATGTGAGTCATCCAACATCAAGTCCTGTTACTACAATAATTACAATTTGACTCAACAGAGACACTTATGTTACAGGACCGGAGGTGGTGCCTTGAAGAGTAGGTGGAAGGTGCAACGGTTTAATGAATATTTGTGCTGTTGCTCGCTCATGGTTGCCTCTACAAATAGACGCTTCTGTAAACCAAACATTAAATGTGTACGCGTGTGTGCTACATAAAATGACACACACGCAAACCCTGATTGGAACTTGGATGGACCTTCTTAATTATATTTTGTCACTATATGGGGAAGGTGGCATCCATGTCTCTCAGTTTTCACGTGACTGAAAAATTTGAGGTATATCATAGAGCTTTCACTGGCTCTTGGTTAGCTTTATAAGTAGATAAATAGTCCTAACTAATCAATCCCTCAAAGCCCAAAACTAAACCTAGAGTCTCCTCCCATGGAGCCCTAATTGCCAAACCTAGCAAAACAATGAAGACGCATGCACTGCTTGCATTCTCCTTTTCCTTCTTTGTCACTCTCTTTGCCTTCACCAGAGCTGAGTATATATATGACTCAGACGGCGACATCGTTAACAATGGAGGCAATTACTACATATTGCCACCTGCTTATGGAGGTACAGCAATTGAAGGTGCTGCCGTTGTCAAAGGTCAAAGTGGCTCGTGCTCACTCGCCGTCGTAGCAGTAGTATCGTACGATAAAGGCTGGGCAGCAAAAATTGCAACACCATATCCTTTGAAGTACATCACTAATGACTATCCTTTAAACATATCGTTCGCTAGTTTGCCATCAAACACATGCACTAACACATCCAGTTGGACCGTCACCAATATCCCTGGCTTTGACGGAGATCCGGTGATGGTTGGGAAGCCTCAGGAATTTTCAGTTCCTCGTTCTGGTTATTTCTACATCAAGAAATATGATTCTACCCAGTTTTATAAGTTTGCCTTCTGTTATTCCACATCTTCGTGTGGATATGTTACTTTGAAGGCAGATGCGACCCATCGCAGCACCCGTTTGGTTGTCACACGGGACAGAAGCGTACAACCATTGGTATTCAAGCTTGTCAAAGCAAGTGGTGAGGACGTCGACTCAGGCATATCCATGGTGGTGTGAAGTATAAATGCAGAATAAACATCTCTGAACTTCTTAGCTATCTATCTCCAGAGTGTAAAATAATAAGAAAATCAGTGTGTTTGTGTGTTTCCCTGCTTTTGTTTTAGCCTGAGAATAATAGTTGAGTGGGTTCAACTCAAACAGATCGATCTACATGTTCTTTACTTTCTTTATCTCTGGTTGCTGATGGTTTTTTTTTTGTAGCTAACTGATTAAAAATTTGCTTGGCTGATTTAAGTAATAACAATTGTAATTATGCTACTTAATGTTGTAACTTTTAGAGTGTGAAAATGTCTCACATTGCTTATAACTTAAAAGAGTGGAAGCCTTATTAGCGTATATATAAGATGAGAACTAAAGCATATTTGAAGCATATCTTTGAGCTTCGCAAGCTCTTTGTCATAGCATATGTGGAGAATTATTTTTGTTATTAACTTGGTATTGCTGAAATGTATATTCAATAAGTATAAATCAGGAGAAAAATGACATACTTAGCCAAATGTTCCCTCATTTAATAGTATTAGATATTCAATAAGAATCGCGTCTAAGGCTCCCATGAGATGAAAATTATTGCTCTACAGCCCAATATAATCTAATAATGCTTTACACGTCCAAAGAACTAATTTGCAATTAATTTTCAAACTAAAATAACTGAACTATCCTTAATAACTGAGAAGGAGATACCATACTAGAAATTTACAGACCTTCTATTGTTAATTGTTTCGGGTAACTTGTAAATTTTCTCCTCTTGAATTTTTCCAGTACAAATATAAACCACAAATAGACTCTAGTAAATAAACAGACATTTCATTGTAAGTACCTTCTATTAAATTAATAATTTTTTTGGTCATCTTGTGAATTTTCTCTTGTATTCTTTAAGTGTAAATTCACAAATGGTTCTAGAAAATAAACGAACATTTCATTGTGAGTAATTAGATTTTGCTTGTTGTTTATGGACCTTTTGTTGTTAATTTGTTTTGGTTAACATATAAATTTTCTTGTATTCTTTAAGTACAAGTATAAACCCCAAATAGATTATTGTAAATAAAACATGTATTGCATTTGTTACCGACCTTCTGCTGTTAATTTGTTTTGATATTTTGGTATGGTATTCCCTCTCAGTCTGTAGTTCAAAGATTTCAACTAATAAATTAATTTCGAATGAGTCTTTCAATTCAAGCCTGCAAAGCATTATCAAATCATATTTGACCTGCAGAGCAATTTTTATTTTTCTAGAAGCCGTGACGACTCTCCCATAAAAAAAGTCATTAAATACTCTTTTGAAATTTAAAAGACACTTCCACTGTTTTAAATTATAAAATAATTTAAGATAAAATTATATATACATATTAATAAAATTTAATAATAGTTTACAAACTTATTTTTTTAAAATAAAAATATAAATTTTTATAAGTAACTTCACTTAAAATAATTTTAAATATATAATCATTTCAATTCTCTCTTCATTTAAAGGAAAATATTAGGAAAAAAAATCTTATTTTTGTAAAATTATTTTATATCTTGGGATAACAAAATTTTTTCAACGTTATCTTATAATTTGAGATGGAAAGAGTGTGTAATATTAAAAAAGGAAAATGACAATTAAGGAACCTTAAGGCCATTAATTACAATTAGGGATTTTGAATTATTGAAATCTCAATAATAAATTATGGTCCTTACTTAAAATTAAAACATGCAAATAGTCTAAAATGTTCCTCAGAAGTGACTTCAGTAATTTTTCAAGTGACTATTACAAGTGTCTTGGAAAGTTTCAAAAGTAAATTTTAGTTTCATATTAAGAAACAATCCTTCCCCAACTATAATTCCTTGGTTTCCCAATTGAGATTAGCAATTCTCATCCAATGGTAGTAATTTTAGCAGTGTCATTTCTTTATTTTTTAAATAGTCTACCGATATATTAATAAGCATAAAAATTAATAAGTGATTGTGTTCATATTCAGAAGTGATTTTAGTAAAATTTTAAGTGACTATTGTATTTATAAGTGCTCTTGTAAAGTTTCAAAAGTGAATTTTAATTTCATACTTGAAAACAATCCATTCCCAACTATTCTTTCTTGATTTTTCAATTGAAATTAACAATATTCTCATCCCATAATAGTAATTTTAATAGTATTATTTATTTATTTTTCAAGTGGTTTACTAATATATTAACAAGTATAAAAATTGACAAGTGATTAGGTTCATATTCAAAAGTGAATTTAATAAATTTTCAAGTGACTATTATATATTCACAAGTGTTCTTAGAAAATTTTAAAAGTAAATTTTAGTTCATACTGAAAAATAATTTATTTCTAACTATTGTTCCTCGATTTTTTAATTGAGATTAACTATATTCTCATCCCATAATAGTAATTTCAGCAGTGTCATTTCTTTATTTTTTAAGTGAAAATAAATTTTGTAAACTCATGTATATTTTTAATTCAAATAAGAATCATGATCAATTATTGAGATTGTAATAATTTACTATCCCTAATAATAATTAGGGTAAATGGGTTAAAAAAACCCCTAAAGTGGTTAGCCACAGGAATCCAATATTCTAAAGTAAGGAAAAAGATAAAAATACTTATAACGTTACATGGATGGGTATAAAAGTGATCAAACCGTTAACTTTGACCTAATGATGTTAACTTTGACTGTTAAATACTGATTGTGCATGTCACGTGTCAGTATTTGGTGACATGGACTAATAAAAGGGCAAAAATACCTGCGAAGTTATAGGCCTAGAGCAAAAATACCCATAACATTACCAAAGTTGGTACAAAAGTGCCCTTAAATATTAATTATTTAGCTGACACCTAAGCAAAAGTTGATTATTTTTTTGCTAACATAGACAAAAAAATTCTCAGATGAATTTTTAAGGATGTTAATCGATCATTGTATAAGTACCCATAATGTTACTTTAGTAGGTGCAATAGTAACAATCCGTCAAAATTAATGCCACATGATTTCTTTCCATCTTCACATATCTCGTCCTCTTACTTTCTTCCTCCTTCGTCACTCATTTTTCTTACCTGCAAAACATGATATTTAACATAGTGAGATAGGTTATACAAAATCAAATATTGAAACTGAGCACACCTAGCTTAATAACATTATCACAACTTTAAGCAATTGCATTCATAATAAGTTCAAAATTTTCAAATAATTTTTACCACTATTGTAAAGAAACAAGCAATTTAATTTGATATTCAGTCAAAATGACATTTTCTTATATGATATTTATACAATAACCGATTAACCTTTAGAGAATTTCATCTAGGAATATTTTTTATCCATATCAACAAAAAAAAATTAACTTTTGCTTAAGTGTCAGCTAAACAGTCAATATTTAAGAGATTGGATGAGTTGATACTTCTACACCTACACCAACTCTAATAGCGTTATGGGTATTTTTACCCCTGGCCTATGACTTCACGTATATTTTTGCCTTTGGCTAATGACTTTGTAGGTATTTTTGTCTTTTTATTAATTCACGTTAGCAAAAATTGACACGTGACATGCACAGTCAGTATTTAACGATTAAAATTAATGATATTAGGTCAAAATTAATGATTTGATCACTTTTACATTTATTTATATAATATTATGAATATTTTTACTTTTTTTCTTATTTTAATATATACTTTATAGGTATTCTTACCCCTTAGTTTGATAATTAATGATTTTAGGAGGTTTTTAAATGTCATTTTTTCAAAAAAATTCCAAAAAAGGTAATTCTAGTGAATGAGACAGAGTAAAGAAACAGGTCGATAGGCTAGTCTTGTCGCCATCAAATTTAATACTTGCCCCCATACATTTAATACTTTTTTCTCCACTATGTAAAGAAAAAAAAAATTATTTCTTTTAAATAAAATTATAAATTTTTAAAGTTTATATTATTTATTCATTATGTTATAATATTATTTTAATTTTTTCATTTAAAAGATAATATTAAGAAATATTCTTAATAAAATTTTATTGTTTTTAAATTGTCTTATATTTTAAGATAAAATTTTTTATATAATTTAAAATGAAAGGAGTATAATAATTATTAAAAAATCATTATACATTAGAAACAAGATTTGGGTTAAAAGACTATATATAGTATTCTTATTTTTAAGGTTTTTTTTTTGTCCAAAAACTATATAATGGCTGTTGATATAGTTTCAAGTCCTTACCTCGTAATTTCAATCTTGTGTTGATCATTCATTTAGATATGGGAATAAAATTTTATTCAAGACTTAACCATCATAAATTTCAAGTTTTGAAATTTTAATTTTATTGTCCCAAATATAAAAGACACAAAAAGGTGCTTGGCCCAAAATCTTTTATCAGGGCAACCCCAATTAATTTTCGAGCTAAATAATTAATTATAAGTAAATCCAAAGAATTTTAAAACTGGAGCCCATTTATTTTTTATAGGCTCAAACTGAAGTAAATTTTACCAAAAAATAACTAAAGCAATACTGTGATTTTTGTGGAAGCTACCTTGAGAAAGTAAAATACACGATGTAAGGCAATGGGAAGTGGCCCCTGAAAATGCAAAAATTATAATAAAGGACCCATAGATTACATATAAGGACCCAAAAAATTATATATTAAAAAAAAGAATCAAACATTTTTTTGTAATTTTTTATGTCATTTTTTCGTCAACTAATGATTAAAGTTAACTTTTATTTACGGTGATAATCTAAATGCACTGTTTATAAAAAATGAGAAAATAATTTGCACAATGAATAAGTTTAAAGTCTATGGTGTTATTAGACTTAAAATTCATAAGGCAATTTGCTCATTTATCTTAATTAAAACATTAAATACTAGTAGTTAAATAAACAGTAAATTTCATATTGTCTTTGTCAGTTAATTCATATGCATGAATTTGTATTAAAAGATTATATATATGTATAATACGAGAGTTATTCTAATGAAGTTAATGCATCAAGGTCAAATGCTACGTACTTTGTTTGACTAAAAGACAAAGAAATTGAAAGCCAAAAAAA